TTAAACATTTTTTTTCATGCTACGCATTAAAGGATCTTCCCGTGTACCATCTTTTACACTATCTACCTATCTGCTCATGGGGAAATCACAACAATGGCAACACCCTTATCCCTAACACTGAAATGATGTGCTTCAGGAAGACAGTCAAACAACACAGCTTTCTGGATGGAACAAACTGATCTGCCATTTTCTTACCACCCACATGTCCCATGTAAAATGTCTATAAATTGGAAGAGCGATTGAGATGTATCAGTCACCTATCTATCCATTTAGGTCCACTAAGTACTACACAGGAGACAGAACTGAACACTATGAAAAACCAAATCCAATTTCAATGAAAAGAAATAATAACCTACTAAGATCATATCTAAGGGGCTGCAGGTGGCGCAGTGGTTTAAACCGCTGTGCTGCTGGGCTGGTTGATCGAAAGGTCGCCGGTTTGAATCTGCACAATGGGGTGAGTGCCCATTGCTCCATCCCAGCTCCTGCCAACCTTGCCGTTCGAAACCATGCAAGTAGATAAAAAGGTACCACTTCGGTGGGCAGGTAACAGCATTCCATGCACTTTGGTGTTTAGTCTTGCCAGCCACATGACCACGGAGACTGTCTGTGGACAAACGCTGGCTCCCTCGGCTAGGAAACGGAGATGTGCACCACCCCCTAGAGTCAGGCATGACTGGACTTAATGTCAAAGGGAAACCTTTATCTTTTTACCTTTTAAGATCATATCTACTATACCCAAAACTGTGGAAGCACAAATACAATAGTACCCTACCTTCTAGAAGGAAAGTCAGTCTAAAAAGATCCATTAATCGGCGATATCAAAGACTGCTCTGGAAGGTCCAGAAGAATCACACTGTTGTTGTGTCTTTCCCTGTGTAAATCATCAGCCAGAGCAATAAAGGTAATTTCAGTCCCAAAAGATGTCTCAAATTGGACTGAAACTGATTGAGACAGCTGGCTGCATCTGAAAGCACCTAGGATTGTCCTGCCATATCTACCTTGTCCAGAAAGGGCAGAGAGAGACTGACCTATAATTGTCCAAAAACAGATTCTAGAGATGGTTACTTCAGGAAAGAGGTGACTTCCCCTCTCAAAGCACATGGAAAATCCTACAACACACAAAGAGGGCCTGAAGAGCACGAGGGAAGCTATAGACAGGAGAGTAGCAATGCTAAATTAGAGCTCTCCCTTAAAGTGACAAAGAGCATTTTCACACATGGGTTTTAAAATTGCCATTGAGGTTTGTCTCACTTGTTTTTATTTCCAAAATAAGTTAAAGTACAACTCCACAGAAAACATGCACTTTGTTTTGCTTAGCTTGAGAAACTGTTGACACATGAATTTTATTAAGAAATTACACAAGATGGGAGGAATAGACAAAAGATACAGAAGAAAATTGAAGTCAGTAACCCAACAAGCATGGAATGATGTAACTAAACACAGGTATAGAATAACATCATCTTTCCCACCCAACCAAGAAAACATCAATGCCAAGTAGTGACAGGGTTTCTGTTATGGGCTGAACTCTTGATCTAAAACTGCTTGAGCCCAGAAATCTCACGTTTCTGTTGGAAAGATTGTATATTAGAGACACGTATTACACAAATATTTTTATGGTGATGCACTTGTTCTGATCTGTGACTCATTTTTTTTAAACAAAGGTCCTTTGGCATTCAGTATTGGATAGCCTCAATGTATTACAAATGCATAATTACTCTATCACATTGTAAAATATTATGTTTGTTTACATTTGATCAACAGCCAGAAAATCCATCATGCTATATGGCTTTACAAAAAAATACAGTTTCATTATACTGAGAATAGGAAAGAGAAAGCATACAATCCAGTTAGACTCACCATTCTGTAAGGCACAGGAGGTTGGTCTCATTATCCATTTCTGGGCACAGTTTTAGGAGTTCAGTAAGATGAAATGAGAGCGGCTTGTGTGCCATGAGAAATGAATAGATTTAATAAGCCAAGGTTCTTCAAAACCCTAGATACCTGTCTATGGAACAACTTCCTAACTGTGGCCCAGATAGTGCCAAATTTGTCATCTTTTCAGTGCAAGGCTAAGACGGTCCTCTTTTTGGAGACCTTTAAAGACTTACTTGGTCAAGCAGGGACTTGAGGGCATTACCAATCCCATCTGTTTTGCAGAGTCATTTTTGCTATTGTCTGTTTTAGCCGTTTTGACAATCTTAATGCTTTTTTTCTGATTTTATTGCATTTTTATTGCTTGATTTATGGTTTATTGTAAATAAATAATATTGTAAATTATCCATAAATAGTTTCAATTGTGGGGTAGTATAGAATTATATAATAAAAATACATGTACAAATTCAGAGCAAGGATTAAAATAGTTCATAGTGCCCTGTCTCTCAGTGGTCATTTTGTGGCACTGCACTCATTTTGTGGCAAAATGCACTCATTTTGTGGCACATTATTTGGAGGTAAATCAGGGTTGCCACCTCTTGAAATTATCAATTCTAGTATCTGGGTGGGGCCCAGGATTTGAGTCATGAGCATTTCTGTGAAAAGGTGGGGCCAAGAAGTAGCAATTTTCCCAGCTTGAATGCAAATAAATAAGCACAGTGTATGACAGCAACCTAAACACATTCCTATTGGATTCTAATGAGACTACATCCAACTAAATTGTCACCAACTATGATGGTGACAATCATATTGCAATGCCCTTCAATCACAATACCGATGTGTATAGAATATTAATGTTTATTATAAGCATTATAGATGAAATATAAGTATTTAAACTTTGCTTATTTGTCTTCATATATTCAAATCTAATTATTAATAACAGAATTCCTTTCCTGTCCAGAAAGGAAGAAGAGATCAACCATCAGTAATACTAAGCTAAACCTGGGCCTAATTCCCGGATTATTCTTCACAGGCATCATGCTCAGGGCATGCTGCTTGATCACTCCTGCTTGGTTTCTCACACCAGAGGGAGCAGCTAAGCAAACCAGGAATTCAACAATAAAAATAATCTTCATATTATATCTGAATCAAACTCCTAGTTTAGTACTCCTGTCATTATGCTATTTCACTGTAAAGGAATGAAAGGAAAACAGCAATTAAAACTCTTCTCCAGAAGCTGAGTGATAAAACTAATGTGACAATTCATGTCTATAATCTCAACTGCATGGAAGCAATAAAAGAAGCAAATATTTTGAGGAATCTTCTAATTAACATTATACAGGTCTTTGCAGAATGTGAATCACTTTTGTGTAAGCATTATGGAATAAGTTTGTCTATGGGTAGAAGACTGCTAGATAATATAGTGCTATAATGAGCCACCCCGAGGCTTCGGCAAATGGGGCAGCCTAGAAATTTTCTAAATAAATAAATAAATAAATAAAATAATGAGAGCTGTTTTAACTGATTGCAGAAAAACAAAGCCTGAACAATGCTAAAAGGTGCTAGTATGGAAGCAGCTTAATGTCTATTCTGAATCTTCTAAAACAAAACAAGAAAAAAGGAAAGCTAAGCTTATTTGCACATCCTCAGTAATCCGGTTAGTGAGAGATGTACGTTCTGTGGGCGGATAAATACTGTTCTCTCCATGGAAGTTATATGCCTCTTCCTCCTTCCGACAAGGCCCATAAGAGGAAATAGAGAAAGCACAGGTGAACAATTTATCTGAGTAATCTGTGGGGAGAAGAAGCAAATGGTGCAGTCTAGAATCAATGCCCTTTCATACAGACGGGATTCCTGAAGTAATGGACATGGAGCCTTTATGTCAGCCATTATGCTAGGGCACTTTGTTTTTCCAAAAATTGGAAAAAAGCACAGAGCAGCACTTTTTCCAGCTGATCACTCAAACTCTTGCATTTCCCTTTTGTGTTTACTTTTGAAGACCCTCGAGATTTGTTTAAATTCTAAATATTTGGTTACTCATCGGAATGAAAGCCAAGCTATCTAATGTTTGTGATCCACCCATCATAGTCTTAAGTATATTCTCTGTGTTCTCTTAAAATGCATTAACATGCTTTTAAAATATTTAAATTAAATGCAGGCTTTCTTCTGCAGCTGTTTTCAGCCCTATTTTGCTTATGCCCCAGTGGAGTTCCTTTCACATTATGAGTGAATGAGGGTCAGGAGAGGAGGAGCAGCTTCATGCAGGCTCAGCACAATCTAATGTAATCAATGTAAACATGCACTGTAACTACAAGTCAGCTTCATGGGGAAAGGATTCGTTTTTACAAGAAGCTTGCATGTTACCTCATCTGAAAGACATTGGCTACAATCATGGCAGTGTCAGAACTGCCTAATCATTCCAGAATCTCGTGGGGGGGGAGAGGGAGCCTAACTTGTGTTCATGTGTCAGTGTGGGTGTGTGTTTGAGAGTGAGAGAATGTGTGTGCACAAATATACGCATAGGCATTTCCCTTCTCTCTTTCCTTGTGAAGTTAGTGACAGACACACACAAACTATTGCAAGGGCACAGAAAGGCCAAAATGAATTGGGTGCAGGACAGCTTTTCCAGGGTAAGATTTCTGTAAAAAAACTCAACATGTTTTTCATTTTACTGTTCCTAGCCTCACTATCGCCTTTGCCATTCAAGTACAACATGCCATCCAAGAAGGCGTTTCTCTTGTTTGAGTACTTTAATTGAACTGAGATCTGTTATTTATGGTGATACCTTGTTGTCCTCCTTCCTGGATTTATTGTTGTTGTTTTTAGCATCTGTGATTATTGATTTTATTGTAACCCACCTAGAGAATCCTTTTTGGACTAGTGGGCAGCATATACATTTTAGAACAATTAAATAAAGCATGCCTCCTTTTTCAGTGAACAGGACAAACATGTGAATGGTGCCACTCATCACATCTAATTTGGCCCTGAGATTGCAAAAGCAGAGGACTAGTGGAGCACTTGGAGGGCCAAGATATAAATCTGGTTGGTTGTTGTGCAAGCCTTGTACAGAACCTTACTTTCCACAGTTATTATTTTGCTATCCTTTTTCCTATTCCCTACCATAGCACAGAGGATAAGCGACCTGGGACCCCCATTAATGAATATGCTCAAGCCCAGCTGCAAGATATCATCAAGAAGATGCGAGAGAGGACAGCCACCTATAAAGAAAAAATGACCGATCCAGTCATCTCTTCACCTGAGCCCAGCCCAACAGCCAGTAAGTTCGTGGAAACTGTAGGCCATCTATTTTCATATATTTAAGGTGTCTGAAGGTAATAAAGTACCGTTGTCAAGCAGATCTTCAAATGACTTTAAACTGATTCATTTCCAGCAGCATGATGGGGATGTTGAACCTCTTTCAACCTGAGTGAAGAATTCCATTTGGTATTGCCTTCCTGTGGTGGGTGGAGCTGTAGAAAAAAGGGGGTTGGGCCAAAGGCAATCGGGAAGGAACAAAAATTTAAGAAATACAAAAATAGAATAGGGTAGCCTATATATAATCATGAAAGGAAAAAATGCCTCCTCTTATCAGCACTTCAGTACCTGTGGCCTTACAATTTGAGAGGAAGAGGAACAAAATAACATGTTACTGGTCAACAATGCAAGTCTTCTCTAGTTTATGAGTGAAAAGCACTAAAGTAGAAGGTGCTCACCATGCTATCTAGTCATTTCCTTCTCTCTAGTAATCTGCAGGATCAAAGCACAACAGATGCAAATTGGGATAAGAAGAAACAACCTTTTAACAGTCAGGCATCCCCATTTCTATTCTCCGCTATATCAAGTTGTCAGTGCTGAATTGGGGCAAATGGCATGGTAGCTTTAAAGAGGAAGCCTTTCTCATTATGCTTCAAAAAGCCATTGAGGAAGGCTTTGATAATTATAAGCATCCTATAAATATATGTAAATAAATAAATAAACCATACTAGCCTAAAGCCCTAGAGTGGAACTTACAACCATTCAATATTATTATAAATACTGCATAGATAGATATAAGATATAATTTTGCAAGGATGAAGGAAGTGATCACACAACAGTTTTACAGACTAGGAAATAATTCAAATCAGACTGGCTTATTTTCATCAATACACTGTTAGCACCTGATGACCAGTCCAGTAAATAGTTTGTTATGCTTCTAATATACCAATTAGCATTCATAGGCAAAAGCTGCATAACTAGGGTGGCCCTACCATAAAGCAACGTGATGCAGTTGCTTTGAGCAACTATTGAGCAAGGGTTCTATTTTCTAACTTCTAGTCTTGTTTTCTCTGGTCATCTTAACTGTGTTCCAGTCTAGGTTGAAGGATTAAAGTGTCGTACTGTGTAAGCCTAGTATTATCTACTGAGAAGTAAGCTCATTGAGTTCAGTGGGACTTAGGTAAATCTGTTTAGGGATCCAATGGTTGGACCTATACTTTTGTGTCAGTGGGTGCTAAACTGACCTGGTCCCTCACCAATCAACCCCAGTTAAAACATTTGCATCTAATAAATGTAGATCTAATGCATACTACTCAGAAGAGAATGAAAAATGCATTTTGCTTTTCATACCTCCTGTGAATTACATAATTGCATAGGTGAATATATAAGAATGCTGATCTCCATCTTCCTTGCCACTTTTCAGAGGCAGTATCCATTTTGCTGACACTTGTTTACAGAGATCCCAGAGAACTGCATATCCTAGTATTCTGTATGTTGTAGCTTCAGGGTGTATTTGAGAATCAAATTCAAGTCCACCTTTTTGGAAATTTATCCTAGCACCCAAAAAGAAACCCCCACCCCCTCCACCAAAAGAAGAAAAGAAGGAAGAGAAAAAAGAGGAAGAGAAAAAGCCAGAAGAAGTTAAACCAGAGGAACATTACTGTGACATGCTGTGCTGCAAGTTCAAGAGACCACCTGTGAAAGAATACATGAAGAAAATGAAGCTACCAGATAGTATAGATGCATACACAGGTAAGCGGAATGATTCTGTACAGAAAGAGATGCTGTAGATATGATGAAATTATGGACCACTTCTATACAGATGTATAAAGGCCTCTGTTGATATCAGGGTTCCTTCAGGACAAAGGCTCCTGCTACTGCACTAAGTACTAAAATGAATACCAGTGTCCTTGCAGCAGTCAGCCTTCCCAGAGTCCCCACCTCCATGTGGCCCACCGGGCTATACCCTCTGGCCAGAAACTCCCTGATCCCCAATTCAGGGCCAGACACTGGATTCAGCACAGAGCAACCCAAGGATTGGGAGAAAAGGATTTTATTTGAAAGGCTAACAAAATAGAGGTGGAGGGTCTAAAACCACTAAAATGCATAAGGTACAGTCATACCCAGGAAAGGAGGGGAAGGGAAAGGAGAATTGGAGAGCAGCACAAACACAATTTACATTTGTTTGGAGCACCCCAAGACCCCAGGACCTGTTGGCCTCCTTGGACACAAAATAATGAAGTGGCCCTAGCCCTAGCTCTAAACAGAGAATATCAGACATAGTCTCCCCAAATACAAGGTAGCACCACGTTCTCCTGCAGAGCTTCCAGCAGCAAAAGGGAGCCTCTTCTTGAAGAGAAACTCCAAGCCTTCTCTGTTCCCGTCATTTATCCCCCTGTCATTTATCCGATGACTCATGGGGTGACATTGCATGACATATTCCAGGTGAGGACCATTTGCCTTTTATTGCCCCCAATCTCCTGCTTCCTTAGGAAGTGCAAATTCCCCTGTCCTTAGCTATAATTTACAATTATCTCTCTTTTTGCATTCCCAAGCCCTACCTGGTCCTCTTGCAGCCTCGACACCTGGGTCTCCTTGAAGCAACTCCTGGCAACTGCAGCCATTCCCCCAGGATGTCAGTTAACCCTTCTGCTGCAGACTGAGTATTAGGCCAGTTCACATTACAGCAATGATTAAAACTAGTTCATAAAATTTCTCCTTTTGCTGCCCATTGCTAATCTTTAGCACAACTTCAAAACCTTCATCCCTTGATTTACCTTCACATCCAACTGGTACAGGGCCGGGGCATCTAGGCTACTAATCCGTGTACAATACTGTGATCACATCTACTACGATACTGGAGGATTTGTATTGGCTGCCAACAGCTTTCCAGGCTCTGTTCAAGCATTTGGTTTTATCCTTTAAAGTTCTAAACTAGTGTTTCATCAAATAGTCCAAGTCATCCATTTCCTTCATTGCAAAGGAGGGTCTGAGTGAAATGAACACTCTGGTACAAGAGGCTGGGGAGGTGAAAATTTAAAGTACCATATTTTTTGCTCTATAAGATGCACTTCCCCCCCTCATCTTATAGAGCGTCTTATAGAGCATCTTACAGAGTGAATATGTGCATCTTATAGAGCGAATATGTGTGTGCAGTAAGTCTGTCAGATGTGCAGCCCATGGGGAAGTGATGGGGAATGTGCCTGTGATTATGTGTCCATTTGTTTCAGAATATATTTTTCTTGTTTTCCTCCTCTAAAAACTAGATGCGTCTTATGGTCAGGTGCGTCTTATAGAGCAAAAAATACAGTAATTTTCTTCTTGGGGAGGAAGACAGGAATTCCACTTACATTTTGAGGTGGAGGTGGTAGCTAAGTTATTATTTTAATTGCATTCTGTGATGATTATCCTTCTCCAGGATCACACGAGGAACTAATTGAGACATAAGTAGACTGAAAATCTAGTCCTTCTAGAACATTAACAAATTTAGAGGAGTAAATAATATCCTCTAATTTCAGCCACTTGCCTTTTACAGTTTTCTCTCTATAAATCAAAAATAGTTTGAGGAAAAAAATACTCCTACCCCATGCTTTTTATGTAAAAAAAAAAAAAAAAAGGTGCCGGAACTCACGTTGCCCGCAGTAAGCGCAGGACCACACACACAGCCAGCAGAGTGTCCCAAGCCCCTCACTAGCTCACTATCAGATAGCAGACACAATAGCAGGCTGCAGGCACTATGTTAATGATGTTTGCTGCTGATCTGCTACGATTCAAAATCACTTCGTAAAATCCATTGGGAAAAACGGTGCTGGAACGCTGTTCCTGTGCATTCGATGACAAAAAAAGCCCTGCTCCTACCTGCCTATGCCCATTCTGTTTAGTGTGTGAGGTTTCATGACCCCAAACAATGTACGCATCTACAGGCACAAAATAAAGCTAACTACAGATCATTTTGGTTTTGAAAGCCAGGAAAAGAAGAAAACCCCTCCAGTAAAATCCATTAGGAAAAGCATGTTTATGCTGATTTGAAGTTTACAGGCCAAAGTATTGTTATGCTCATTGCAAGTCAATAGACCCACCATTGTTATACAGTTTTTGTGGATAGCCATTAATGCAGGTACAATTAAGTCTTACATTACCTATAGGGTCTAAAACCTAAAATGCTGATTCTAAGGTTCTGGAGGAAACTTTCAGTCAAAGAATGGCCTTTCATATAAAATATTTGCCTTGCTTGAAGCAGTTTTGTCTGGGATGACAACATGAACCCCAAAAGAAAGCCAGTTAGAAGAATGGATGAAAATGCTTGTAGCAGTCTGGGATTCTTTATAGCTTGGTTTCTCCACCCTGACAGCTCTTCCTGAACTCTCTGAGACTTTGTCCTCTTCCACAGGCATTCAGGAAGCACTGCTAGGCTGAAGAAGCCTATCTGCAAAGCAAAAAAGCTGTTCTTGCTTTCAGCAACACTGAGCTTTTCTCCAAAAAGCTTTCTGCAAAGTGGAGTCCTGGAATTCCTCCTGGGCTGCAAACCTTTTTCCAGAGAGGTCTATCCTATTAGAGTTTTTCTAAAGCTCTTGAGTCTCATTTATTCTTGCCTGCAACAGCCTGAGAGAGGAACTCTTCCTGAATGCTCATGAAAGAGGGCAGCATCTAGTGCTCTCACAGAAGTTCAAGAGATGCTGTTGGGATGAAGAAGCCACTCTTTAGAGTCTCGTGCTGCTGTATGTGCACTAGGAGTTTTTAATAAATGAATAAATAAAAAGAGATCCTTGAAGCACTTCCTAAACTTAAAAGGGTGTATGAAAACACTGTTCCCCTCCCCAGAAAAAAGTAATAGAGTTTTCCCCCTCCCTATATAAAAGGAAGAAAAAACACCTCTTTTGTAAGGGAGAAAAAAAATTCTGAAACAGGGGCCAGAGGTCAATACAGCACTGCTCTGAAGGGCTTGTTGCCTGTGTCTTTAGGGACCATCTATCTCATTATGAACCTGCACAGTTAGTAAGATCAGCAAGAGAGGCCCTTTTGAAGACAGCCTTATTTACTGATGCCTGTTTGTCAGTAACACAGGTCTCCCTTCTGTTGCTCCTAAATTCAGGAGCATATTCCCATTCAAGTTATGAATTGGCTCCCACTCTCTGTGTTAAGGAAAGAGGCCTTACACATACTTCTTTTAAATTTGGCTTTTTAGCTGTTAAGATTGTTTTGCCTTTTAAAAGCAATAGTTAATGTTTTTATGTCACTGCTGTTCTTTTTTTCTGAAATATTTATAAATCACCTTGGCTGAATTCTGAAAGGCAATATAGAAATACATGTCTTAACAAACAGTCTGTAAAATGGGACCCATTATTAATTTGAAAATTGGTCTGTTTGGAGTAAGTTTGGTGCACAGTTAAGCCAATATATAAAAAGGCAATTGGTTCTCAGGATACAATTAAATTGAGAATTCATTAAAATTTTCCTAGGATGTTTTGTTGCATCTACAGAACAATGCATTAACAAATCTCAAACAAGAAGAGGTGTTTTAAGAAAGATGTACTTTTGTTGTTTTCCAGATCGTCGCTATATAGGATGGCTGTTCTTGGTCACCGTAGCTTATAACTGGAACTGCTGGTTTATCCCACTGCGATTAGTATTCCCAGTTCAGACATCAAGTAACATGATATACTGGATCATTATAGACATCTTATGTGATATCTGCTACATCTGTGATCTGGTGATATTTCAGCCCCGAGTACAATTTGTGAGGGGTGGAGATATAATAGTAAGTAAAAGTGCTTGTTTGGTAAGACATGAGAAATCACATCATCCCTGAGAAAGCCCCTATAGTATAGTAATGTTATTGCACCAAAATGCTTCTAACATGGCAATTGCTCAGTAGATCTAACTGATCATTTCAGATCGTATTCTGTGGCTCCTCATAGTTTTTTTAACCCATGATGAGCCATGGCACCCATGGACAGCAATTTGCACACCCAATCCCAACTAAGGTTGTTGTGTCATCTGCACCCTGTGAGTGTGGGCTATGTAAAGGATGTCTTAAAACAGATAATGACCTGGTTTGTATGGCACAACAACCCATGGTGGCTTGTTGTGATATCAAAGCCTGAAGCTCGCTCGCTCGCTCGCTCGCTCGCTCACTCCTTCCTTCCTTCCTTCCTTCCTTCCTTCCTTCCTTCCTTCCTTCC